CCCTGGTCGGCCATGTGGGAGTGTCCAGCGCCCTAACCACCACGCCACCCACTGGTCCCATCTGGTATGATTTTTAAGCCACCAGATCCAGGACTTGAACTATGCAGTCAGTCATGTGGAACCCAGTTACCTTAACCTCTACACCATCTACTGGCCCATAACCCCCTCACTGTAGTAAGGGACTAAAGCATATTGCTTCTATAAATAACATATTTTTTTAAATAATACTTTTTAATTTAACATTATTTATTTTAATTTGACTAGAGAGGGACAGATATAGAAAGTGAGAAAGCAAGCTACCAGGTCCAGGATTTGAACCGTGGTCGGCCATGTGGGAGTCTAGCACCCTTAACTACCACACCACCTGCTGGTCCCTAAATAACATCCTATAGATAACTGTGACTTTTCAGATATGCATACCCTTCACAGCCTGGGCAGTTTCATTGGTACTAAAGTGAATATAAAGATTTGAACCTTCGATTTGCAAGATTTTATGTTTTTTTTCTGGGTCAAGTAAACACTGGACCATTTTCAGACACCACCTGAAGATGCTTATATGAAGAGCACAAAATAGAACTTCTGATCATCACTAAGCCCCCTCTCCTGGCTGTCCGCCTTAAAAGCCTGCTCCATCTTCGGTTTTCCACAACTCAGCCAGCGCATTTGCTTACTAGAAATCTGAGTCTTTCTTTCCCTAAGCAGGTCTTGTTTGTGACCATCTAAAACGTGCCTTGAATCCGTTCACTTCACTTTGTAGCTGCTGTCATCATCGTCAGACCACACGACCATTCTCTCACCTGCTCTCCCGCCATGGCTTCCAACTGATTCTCCACATGGCAGCTGGAGTGTTTTTAACAGATCAGACTGCCATACCCTGACTTAAAGCCCTTCAAAGGAGGCCCTCTAAATTCATCACAAAATCCAAACTCTACGAGGCCTTTGGTGACCTTGTCCCTGCCTTAGATCCATATTTCTGTCCCTGTTCTGTCCCCCATGGATCATCTTTAGGCTCTCAGAATTTATGAAACTTTTCTGACCTTGGTTGGGTAGGCCCTGTCTTCAGGTTACCCTGGAGAGAACTTTCTGTCAGCACCCCCACACCCACACACATACACAATGGCTGCTCCTTCCATTTCTCATCCGTTTCTCCTATTTTCTCTCTTATGGAACTCAGTTCTTTCCACCACAGCATTGCCACGATCTGTGATTACACATTTGGCTGTGTGTTTACTTGCTCTCTCCCCCACTGGGTGGCTTCCAGACAGCAGCTGGGATTGTGTCTGTTCCTCATCCCTGGGCACAGAGCGCCTAGCTCAGGGGCAGGCACCGAGAGAACGCTCTATAAATATTTGTTGAATGAATTCACTGTCTTGTCTCCTACTCTGTCATCCTCGGCCTCAAATGTAAGGGGACTTCAAAAAGCTTGTGAAAAAATGGAATGAAAGTATGAGTTTATTTTGGTGCAAGAACATTTTGAAATCCTTGCAGAGTTTTTTCATTGTACATGTTTTCCATGAACTTTCTGGAAATCCCTCTTGCTCCCCACATGTCCTAGCAGAAAGGCTCTTCTGGGAAGAATAACTTCACCCAGGAGAGAGAGAGAGAGAAAGAGAGAGAGAGAGAGAAAAGCAATACCAAAAATTTACACTTTATAAAAACCAGAAGACTGTTTTACAAACATATAAATTATTTTTATTTACAAAGCCATGTTACAAAAAAAAAAAAAAGCAAAAAAAAAAACAAACCAAAAAAACCAAAACAAAACAAAGAAAATACAGTCGCTCACTGGAGACTATTTCCAGACCTGGTGCTGAACCATGGCTGTATCGATAGATACATGTTTGTTCTCTCCTTTTAAAACCGTAAGCCATAGTATGGACTATTTACACCGACTTTAGACATTTATTCTGCTTACAATATCACAGGCATGGAATGAATTCTATCTGATAGTGCTAATACATAAAGGTGCGGGACAAAGGAGGAAAATACTTAGTGTTACAAAATATGGATCGTAGAAAAGAAACCCACTCCACGAGTGTGGCGTTTGTTTAGAATGATTGGACATGCTTTCTTCAAAATTCTGCTGGAAAAGTTTCTAAAATCGGTAGTAGGAAAGGACAAGTGGGCAGGTGCAAATTCTCGTCTGTGCAACAACAGTTATTTAATATTCCCCATGACTGACCAGCTACGTAAAACCCACAGAGTTTTGTTAAAGTGCCATGGGCCTACAGCATAACAAAATATAAGGTGTAAATAGAAAATTTCTTTTTTTTTCCTTTTTGAAAACAAGAGTTCACTGAGAATCAGCAATAATAGAATATGCCGTATAAACTATTCTCTACAAAGTTGATCAGCGTTATTTACAATTGGTACATTGATACAAAAGAAGGCATACAAGTTATCCAAGTTGCTTTTTTTTTCTTTCCTTTTCTTTTCCTTTTCTTTTTTAAATTAATTTTTATGGCTGACAGGTCTATGCATTGCGTTAGGCTTAACAACCAGAGCTTTCGAGCCTCTATGGCTGGCGACGAGTCAGAAGATCTTCAGGCAAATAAAGGTGTGTGCAGTCAAGGGGCTGAGTGGGGCGTGTGGAACAGAAAGACCCAAAGGATATTACCCTTTTTAAATGCTCTGTAGTCTGGTCCAGTTTAATTCCATTAAAACAAACTAAAAAAACTCAAAAACCAAAAAACCCTTTTATTTGCATTCCATGTTTCAATCTGCGAGTTTTTTTTTTTTTTTTAATACATCATTACAAAGTAAACCTGTGGGTGATTGCGAAGGAAGAAATACTGTGGGTTTTCCCTTTTTGCTCAGTTTTCCAGAAATGTCCTCACCTCGGTCACAGCCAGTTTCTCAACCAAGTAAGCAGCATTCGGTGAGGAGCCTCTTTATTCCAGCTTCCAATTCAAGAAATAGAGAGCTAAAATGTTTAAACCAAATGGATTGCTCCTTTAGTCCCTGTTGAAACATTATTTCTCAGAAGCAGCCACTTAATCTCTCAACCTTTGTTTTCCCTCTGTGAGCATAAGAGTTTGTAAATCAGAGGGTTATTTTGTTGCTGAGATTTGTTTTGTTTTTACTCCTGCAAGTTTTACAACTCAAAATAAATTATATATATATAAAAAAAACAGACTTCTAAAACCAAACGAGACAAAAATTGTGCAAAAATAACAAAGATATGTACATACTTTTCAGTCAGGAGAAATGTACAATAAAAACATAATTCAAAGAACATTTAAAAAATATAAACATTGCTAAAACTTTCCTAAGTTTCATATTGTTTCTGAAACTATTCTGGTCAGTTAGCTCTGTAATATAGTAAAACATAAATTATTACAAAATTAACACTATAAAAATTTACTTTAAGAATATCTTCTAAACTTTTTTTTCCCAAAGGGTCTAACCTTATTTATAATTTCTTAAACATTTATAAGTCTTAAAATCTGCCTTAACATTTTTTTAAAAGAAAAAGTAACAATTGTCCCTTCAACTTGCAGTCTCTTTTTCCCAAGACGTAAATAAACCAGCATATAAGTGCACTTTTAACACTGTAGAAATAAAAATGAAATCATCCAAATATCCTGGTACTTAATATCAACTCCTGATTTCTTAAAAACATCCTCATATTCTATTTAAAAAATGGAATAATCCTATAAGAAACACTGTCAGTGCAATTCCATTGATGCAAACCACTCTGTTGGCCTCCCGTCTGTCTTTCCGGATTCCCATGGTGGTGAAAGGTAACAGTAGTCTGATCTTTGGGTTGGGGGAATGGGAAACAGAAGGAAAATAGGATGGGGATGAAGGCTGTGCCCAGTCGTGAAACTTGCATTCATTTCTGATTTAGGATGGAGCAAAACCTCCTGTGCTTCTGCTCCATATCGTTTGCCAAGATACACGATTAGAAACATGGAACATCTATTTTATATCGTGAATCTCTTTCCTGCTTAGGATTTCCTAGTAGAGCTCTGGTCTTGCTGTTTCTTTCAAAACTCCCGTGTGCAGTTTTATAGCTGTAGGGCTCCAGCTTCTCTTTGCAGGTTCTTCCAATGGCTCTTCTTCGCTCAGTGGTGCTCATCCTTACCACTCCTTCCTGGGGTGGCTGTCTGAATTGGGGCATCTGGTAACGCAGTGCAAGCTGATCTATGGGTGTCCTGATCTTGCTGGGTCTCTGTGGTCCAGGGCTCAGGGGTAGGTGGAATGCTAGTATTTATCCTCACAGGGGGGTTTGTACATAACCCTCCACTGAAACTTTCCCTGGGGGACCCTTTCTAGCCCTGGAAGGCAGCGGCTGTGGTCACCATGGCTCCTCATGGAGTGGCTTTCTGGGTTCTGGGTTCCATGGCTTTTTCCTTGAATTTCTCCCTCTCTGGCTCACTCAGCTTTGGACACTTGCATACTGTACCCTGAAAGTGATTCTGCAGAGTGGATTCCTAACGAGCTCAGACCAAGACAGTCACCCATTTCCACCATCTTCTGAGGGATTTTACCCTTCACCCTTGGTCTGTTTCCACTTTCCCAGGTCTGTCCCAGCGCTGACACATCCTTTCTGAGCTGGATAGTGGTATTGAGTAGGCCACATCCATAGTTGGCTGCCCTTCTCAATTCTGTCCCTAGCACTCAGCTCCCGTGGTGGTGGGCTGCAGAAACCTCATGAGGACACCGCCTCCACCCCCTCCCCTCCCCAGCTCTCTGCTCCCTAAGCACAGGCTCCTCAGGAGGGGAGCTGGTGAGAGCCAGCTCTTCCTGATGGCCAGTGGTGACACGGGGAGTGGCAGGTGGGAAGTTGGAAGGGATGAGTGGGAGAGGACATGGAAGGAGAAGAGCTTTGCATGTACTCGGGGTCAAGAGCTTCCGATGGTGCCAACCTGGAACTGACATTCTGCAACCTTTGCTCTCTTGGCTGGAGGAAAATCACGGTGTAACAGCAGTGTCAGGAGCTGGTGGGGGGGACCCCAAATTTGGAAGAATGTATAGATGTGGCAAATGAAAGACAATGGAAACAAAACACTGGTATTGTTTTCTGTAAATCTCAAATTCACGTTCTTTTGCCTTTTTCTTTTTCTGCAAAACTAAAAATTGGTCAATTAAAAAAAAAACACAAAAAACCAAAAAACAAACAAACAAACAAAAAAAAAAAACAAAAAGGGCCAGAGCCACAGGCAGGGCACAGGAAACAGAGTTTTCCCCATGGCCCATTCCCTCCCTCCTCCTTCTGCCATGGCCTCCTGGGTTGGGATCAGGTGGCCAGGAATGGGTTTGGAAGCGGCTTCATAGTCTTGTTATGGAAGAGTCCTTATCCTGCCCGCTCTGTTTGTGTTCTTCTAGGAAAGAAAAGAAAAACTTGTTTCAAAACCATACACTTGGGATTACCCACAAGAATTCAAGGATAGGGCTTCAGTTTCCTCATCTATAGTAGAAAGGACTATATCCCACCTCCTGAAGAGGACAAAGGGCAGCTGTAACAAGCAAATGAGGTGATCGATATAAAGGTCTTCATATATGGGGGCTGGCAGGTGGCGTGGTGGTTAAGGGTGCTGGACTTCCACATGGCCGACTGTGGTACGAGTCCTGGGGCTGGCGGCTTGCTTTCTCACTTTCCCACTCCATTGTTTGCTCTCGCTCTCTCTCTTTTACTCTCTCCTTCTCTGGCCAAATTAAAATAAAGTTAAATAAAATAATTCTTTAAAAAATTATTTAAAGAACAAAAAGGTCTTCACATATGTAAGATAGTCACAAAGCTCCTAGCCATAGAGAATAACACAGGGACAAATGCCGTGGATCATTCCTCTCCGGAGAGACCACTAGAATAACTGACGTCTTCATTTATTCCTCTTTTAGGTCTCCTTTTCTTACATCATCTACGGATGACAGAGTGACGGAAGCAGTATAATGTCAGGTTAAACTCAGGGGCTTTGGAGATAGAGATTTGGGGTTCACATTGCTTTTTGTCCAGCCATCTTCATCTCTACCCTGTGTATAACGAGCTAGCTACTGTTATTATTATTATTATTATTTTGGAGAGGATTCTGCTATAGGGCCTGTGCGCTCGCCAGAAAGACAGAGAGATACAGAGAGATAGAAAGCGAGAAATCATCCCCCAGGTGGGATGGCCATGCCGCAATCCCTTTTCCTCAACCCTCCTCTCAGGATCTTGGGCATGCACGCACACGCGCCCGGTGCGAGTTTAAACCACCAGGTCCAGGACTTGAACTGTGGTCAGCTACATGGGAGTTCAGCAACATAGCCATTACGCTAACTACTGGTCCCAGCTACTGTTATTATTACATTTGCTATGGCTGGCTGCCAGCATTTCAGGTTCCTAGCAGGTATGCCCTGAGCTGTGGGCACACACTCACCATGCATAGCAAGGGTGAAAGTGTGGCCTCCGGGTGCCTCAGCAACCTCCACAGAGGCCCCAGAGGCAGAGACCGACTGCCTGAGCACAATCATAGTTCCCTGTCCACACTAGCACAGAAATGGCTCCAGAGACTCAGAATAGCAGGGAGACCCTTCTTGATCTGGGGATGTGAAATCTTTTCTCCCCAAATCTTCTCCCAACTCTATCCAAGATTATGGGAAAGTCCACAAGGGCAAAACACAGACAAACACATTGCTATATGGTGGCTAGAAAATGCACACCATGTAATACAGATGTATATGCGTATTCCTATACATATTCCAGTCAAGTAGAATAGGCACCACGCACTCTCTAGCCTCCCTGCTCTTCCTCAGACACGCATACACACTCCATCGAGAAACTCATTTTCTCATTGGGCTCATGCACTGGCTTCACTCCTCAAATTGATAAAAACTGCTTAGTCTACCCTGAACATTCCCACTAGGAAACCACATTCTGAAGGTATGAGGTTGGTGTAAAAGCAATTGCGGTTTTGGTCTGTGGATATTAAATTAGTATAATAGGCTCAGACATATCTTTATTAATCAAAATAGGAATCATTACAATCAACACATTTTTGCCAGTGTGAAGTAAATTAGTTTATTCTTGTAGCATAAAAATCTGTGCTTTGGGATTGGATGAACCCTTGGAAAGCATCTTCTGTGTCCTGCTGGTTGTGGAAGGGTTTTCCTTGCCAAAAAAAAAAAAAAGGTTGAGATGCTTGAAGAAGTGGTAGTTGGGAGGCCAGCAAGTGGTATGTTGGTTAAGGCACTGGACTCCCACATGGCTGACTGTGGTTCAAATCCCAGATCCCGGACTTGGTGGCTTGCTTTCTCTCTTTCCCGCTCTCTGTCTCTCGCTGGTCAAATTAAAAAACAGTAACAACAAATGGAATCAAATAAATAAGTAAATAAATATTTAAGAAAAAAACTAAAAAGGACCAGCAGAAGGTGTAATGGTTGTGTCACTGGACTCCCACATAGTCGATTGCAGTTCAAGTCCCAGACCCGGTGGCTTAAAAGTCATGCTAAGTGCGTGTGCGTGCCATGCCTAAAATCCTGAGAGGAAAATGGAGGAGAAGGGATTGTGACATGGCCATCTCCCCTGCAGGGGGTGATTTCTCACTTTCTGTCTCTGGCAAGTGCACGTGCCCTAGAGCAAAAATATCCCTAAGAAAATAAGGTGGTAGCCAGATGGCGAGAGGTCAGGCTGTGGTGGATGAGACAAAACTTTGTAGCCCAATTTGTCCAACTTTTGAAGTGTTGGTTGTGTGACATGTGGTCCGGCTTGTCGTGGAGAAGAATTGGGCCCTTTCTGCTAATCAATGCCGGCATTGCAGTATCAGTGCATCTCATCGTTATGCTGAGCATACTTCTCAGATGGAAGGGTTTTGCCAGGATTCAGAAAGCTGTAGTGGATCAGACCCCATCAGACCATGACTTGTACCAAACTTTTTTTGGTACAAATTTGGCTTTGGGAAATGTTTTGGAGCTTCTTATTGGTCTGACCACTAAGCTGGTCATGCTGGTTGTTGTTTAAAATCCACTTTTCATTGCACGTCACAATCTAATTGAGAAATGGTATGTTGTTGTTAAGTAGACTAAAAGAAAATGACACTTCAAAAAGATGATTTTTTGATTTTTGATCAGCTCCTGAGGCACCCACTTATCAAGCTTTTTCACCTTTCCAATTTGCTAAATGACCATAGGATAGTTGACATTGAGTTCTTTGGCAACTTAAGTAGGAAGAGGATCAGCTTCAACGACTGGTCTCAATTGGTCATTGTCAACTTCTGATGGCTGGTCACTACACTCCTCATCTTCAAGGCCCTTGTCTCCTTTGCAAAACTTCTTGAACCACTACTGCACTGTACGTTCATCCGCAGTTCCTGGGCCAAATACGTTGCTCATGTTTTGAGTTGTCTCTGCTGTCTTATGACCCATTTTGAACTCGAATAAGAAAATTGATCGAATTTGCATTTTGTCTAACATCCTTTCCACACTCTACAAGAAATATAAATTGAACAGCAAGTAATAAGTCATTAGCAAAAAATATCAAGTGAGAAATGTGCATTAAAACAATGTATAAGAGGGGCTGGCAGGTGGCGTGGTGGCTAACGCGGGAGGACTCCCACATGGCTGACCATGTTTCGAGTCCCAGAACTGGCAGCTTGCTTTCTCAATTTCCTTCTCTCTCTCTGTCTCTCTCTGGTCAACTTCAAAAACATAAAATAAAATAATGACAGCGAATAGAATGAAATAAGATAATTCTTTAAAAAATGTATTACTCCATTTATTTAAGAATGGATTCCAATATCAAATGGCAAATTTCAGCAACGCAGAACTGCAATTACTCTTACACCAACTTCACCTTTGAGAAAGCCCTGATCGATCTAGGCTGTGGGCAAGGCCCTTTAGTCAACATGTCACTCTATCAAATTTTCAAACCAGTCATAGGAGGCATCGATTCTGCCATTTAACGGATGGAAAAACGGAGACTGAGACATCTGCTGCCCAAGATTATAGAGCTGACAGTAATCATCGCTAACACGCATGTGCTTGCTGTGTGCCAGGCATTTCCAGAGGCTTTACACGGATGCACTAATATCACAAGCAGTGACGATAGGGACAGTTACTAACTCCATTTTATAAACAGGAAACGTAAACACAGAGAAGTTGAGAAACCTGCCCAGAGGCGCTCAGCTAACAAATGGGAGGCATAGGTTTGGAAGCCAGCTAGCCATGCACGTTGCTGGAGGTGAGATGTAAACCAGGGTCTGGCCTGGACAGCGATGCCCTGTTGAGGACCCTAAGCATTTTGTCCCTTGTAACTTACCTGTCGGCTGTGTCCTGGGCTGGATATGCTTGAAGGACTGGATTGTGACAAAGCTAGGCTGCTATTTTTCCCAACCTGAAAGACACCAGTGAAGCCCCACTCAGACACACAAGCCCATCTGGGAAAGGCCCACCGATACCACACGTTGCCAGGGAAAGGACAGGGGGCTGCAAACACCGAGCCCCCTTCCCTCGCATCCACAGGAAAATGGCATTTCTGTCTTAAGTGGCAGAGAAAAGGAAGGTATTTCAGAGAGTGCCCAGAGGATTCCCTTCTCCTTCCTAGAGGAAAACTGGAATGGGAGTACTCTTGAATTCTACTCCCCATGGACAGACAGAAGTCCCAGGGGTGAGGACCATGCCATTTGTTGGAAACCTAGTCCTTCCTGGGACTGCTTCTCCAGCAGAAGTCCAGCTTTCCCACTGGGGGTCAGGGGTCACGCAAGCTCACCCGCCTCTGACTCTCAGCCCAGACCCATCCCGTTTCTGGCCCAGACCTCTATAAACCATCTGTGGAGAAAATGTCTGGGTCTTTTCGGGATCAGATTCCCTAGCCAGGAGACACAGGATACACCCTGCTGTTCTTCAGGAAAATAGTGCTGGGCTTCCCCTTTCAGTGGAGAGGCGGGCATTGGGGTGTGGCCCTTGGGCTCTTCCCCTTCTCCTGTGACTGTCCTGGGCATGAAGTGGGCTGGGTTCTCAGGACTGGTGCCAATACTACTCCTGTGTCCCCATCTCTCGTTTGCAAAGACAGCTCCTGCCTTGGGTCAATAAACAACTCAGTCTCTACAAGAATGGTCTTTGGATGCTGGCCTTCCATTTGCAGCTTTGCTTTTCTTCAGTTTAATGCCCTTGTGGCCAGTCCTGGCCTTGCACCTACCAGATGCAATTAAATGGCTCCCTGGGCTGTTTCCAAAGCACAGGTTTATCTAGGACTTCTTGACTTCAGGCTTTGCTCCTCCAGTCGCCTACCAGAATCAGCATGGATCCCTCAGGCTTTGCTTTTCCCCAATACTTCCAATCCCTGAAGAAAGCCTCTTCTCGATGGCCTGGTGAAAAGCACTGAGGTATCGCTGCACTCAAGAGCCAATTCTGACTAGACCAAAGCAGCAGCTGCTAAATGAGTCCCTTTCCCTCACTCCCCTCCTGAAGAACACTGGGGGGCGGGGGGGGGCGGGCCTGCTTTTTCACCACTGGTGCTGGGTGATTCATCGTGTTGGCCTAGCCCTTCAGATGGTCCTGCAGACCAAAGAATCCCAGAGCAACATCTACCCAACACAGAAGCACTCCCTTAATGGTATGGAGGCAAAGCATCCCAACTCCGAGCCACATCCTGGGGTTCACATCCCAGCCCTACTGTTTTCTGACTGTGTGACTTTGGGGAGCTTGCTTAATCCTCCTGCACTTTGGACTTCGTCTGTAAAATAGGGGCAATGGCAGGGCTCATAGATCGAAGTGCTCGAATAGCACCCATCACAGAAGTGTCGGTCTAGCAGCCTCGCTGTTCAGGTGTGGCCTGCAAAGCAGGGCAGGGGCGGAGCTGCCTGGGCGTTAGGAAATGAACTCCGAGGTCCAAGCCCAGGGTCGCTGACTCAGACTCTCCATGAAATGGAGTTCTGAGGTCTCAGATTCGTGCACACACGCATGTTTGAGGAGTCCTGGTTCTTTGGCCTCTACCCTGAGACCTGGAGGTGACGGCCCACCAGCAGCAGAGTCTTCAGGTGGGGCCCTATCAATGCTTACCTCCAACTCCTGTACTGGGCGGGGGGGAGGGGGAGGGGCAGAAAGGGCAACTCCTGTACTGGGCGGGGGGGCGGGGGAGGGTCAGAATGGTGCCCCGGCTCTAGCGGGAAGACCTGCCCCCTTCCTCTCACCTTGGCAGACCTAGGATCCCAAACTCGCTTTTTCCCATGTGTTTACTTATGTCTGCAGTGGCTTCAGGGTGTGCACTTCGTGAGGTTTTACTGAGTCTCATACGCGGTGACAGAAAACATCAAAATGTCTTTGTCACGGCTGCCTTCCATCTCTCAAAACCCCCATCCCTAGACGGGGCTGGGCCGAGGGTTTGGCTCACTTGTTTCTGGGGTCATGAACCTTGGCTGCTGCTAAGGCCTTTGCACACACACCCAGGCGGCCTGCCCACCCCTGCTCACCCATCTGTGCTGGAGGTGGGGGCTGGCTCTCCCAGGGAGCTTTCCAGCCAGAGGAGGAAGACTAGACTTGGGCATGGGAACAGAGCTGGAAGCTGGGTGGGGAAGCCACATGGATTCCTCTTGGACTGAACCACATCCCCCAGCTTCCTCACCACGCACACTCCCATTTGTCCAGAGGCAGCAGGCCCTTCCCTGACAGCTGGCGTAAGCTGCAGTCTCCTTCCAGGAAGGAAAGCTATGTTCGGAGGACGGGCGTTGAAACAGCTCAGTTTGGTCAAGTGAGAACAATGACCCGGGGGCTGGGCAGCACAGCTACCTCTGCCCAGGTGGGACCCAGGTCATCATCTAACTTGCCTGGGCCTCTGGCTCTTCCTCAAGGGATTCCAACATACCAGATCAAACTTCTTAGCCACAGAGCTCTTTAATGAAACCGTCCTCAATCCTCAGATATGAAATAGAAGTGGAGTGGGGAACTCAGAATCTCTCTGCGCCTCGGTTTCCTCATCTGTAAAGTGGGGATCACGATCGGACCAGCGCCCTGGGTTGTCAGGAGGACCCAGTGAGGTACTATTGGCGAAGGGCTTAGAACAGTGCCTGTTGCACAGTGACGGTCGTACAAAGTAGCCACTCCATAAACTGCTTTCAAAGCAGAGGGGAATGGCCTATGGGAACGGCGAGGAAAGGAGCAGTCCCATTCGCATTACCTGTCTGAACCACCTGGCTAAGCAGGTAGCTCCCCCTACCCCCCCGGGGCCAATAAAGGCAGTGCCAGGAGGTCCCTTACCTGCCGAGAGGAGGTGCTGTTAACGGGATCGGGCACCGGTGCAAGAAGGCCGGGTGGGTTCTTTTTGTGAACGCTATTCATACCAGGCATTTTAGTGATTTTACAGGCTTTGCTACTAGAACTTGAGTTCTTACGCTTTTTTCCTTCTGATTTGTCAAAAGAGAGGGGCAGAGAAGACACGGCATTGTGTGAGGCCAGAGAGAGGTCCCCTGCGTGGAGCGCAAGGGAGGGCACAGAGAGGGGACAGGAGTCGCTGCTGCCACCCACCGCGCCCACCTGTCTCACTAGGTCCGCGGGACCGCCGGGCAGCAAGGTCCGTCCTGAGGGCTCCAGTTTGGCACTGAGTGGGCTCATCCCATTGTTTGAGTTGTGCACAGAAAGGCTGTGATAGGGAGGGGCCGCCTGATAGGAGTTCAACGCGGAACTGGCATTCAGAACACAGTTCTTTTTGTGGGGCCCTGACAATGGAGACGAGAGGGAAGTCTGCAAGGACAAGGAGGAGGAGGAGGAGGAGGAAGAGGAGGAGGAGGAAGGCGAAGACTGCGGCTTCCTCTTTTTGTTACTTGGAGACCCGTCGCTGCGGGCAGCCAGGTCTTTGACTTTTGAGGATTTGCTGGTTTTGGTTTTGGATGGCTTGTGGGATGGGGAAGGGATGACGGCTGGTATCGGGGACACGGCGGATGGGGCCTTGAAGGTTGAGTCCATGATGCTGAGGGTTGCGGCCACATGAGGGAAAGCTGTGGTGTGGGACATGAGGACGCGTGGGTCCGGCGATGCCACAAAAGCTGCGTCTGAGAGCATGGCTGATGTCATTATGTAAGAAGAGGTGAGTCTCGAGCTGATGGGAGCTGAAGGCAGATACACAGCACTGGGGTTGCTGAAAGGCTGCAAAACGGATGCTGGAACGGGGGTGGTGATGTGGGCTGCTGGCGAGGGCATGGGGCTATCTGCCGCAGGAGGGATCTTCCTAAACACGGGAGAGAGTGAGAGAGAAACAGTGAGACGTCGGGTCGGCACCGCCCCGCAGGCTCGATCACGTTTGCGCGTCAGGGCTACAGCGAACACCCGGCAGGCAGCACCAGACTATGGAGAATGAAGCCTTGAAGGATGGTAAAATCTGAAGCATGGCCCTTCCTGATGGTGCCCCCATTGCAACATCCAGCAGCCTATTTTTAAATCACTTTCAGGTTTTCAGATCCTTTCCTGCAGGCTGGGCTACTAGAGAGCGGCTGATTTGGGTTCATGAATAAAAGGCAAATGTTGTTTAGAATATAAATTTCCCCAGCAGTATTACCCCACATGCACTTTTTTTTTTTTCTTTTTTGGGGGGACAGTGATAAAGGTGGTTTTTAATTAGAAGTGGTCACTTCACTTTCAGCCCTGGCTTGAAGTTAGAAGGACATGTCTGACAGAGCTTCCCACTGCCCCTTGCAGCCTCTGCCTAGGGACTTTCAGGGCTTCCAGCCCTGTCTACTCTTGGCCGAGGGCAATGCAGAAACTCCTCCCAGGCCAGCACCCTCCTGCCTCGCTGTCTGCAGCCTCTGGTTTACTCCACACAGAGGCCTCTCTGCATTAGCTGTGACGACTGCTCCTGGGGACACAGCCATGGAGGGCTGGGGCTTGTGAAAGGACACAGACGTCAAGCTGCCCAAACCCAGGACAGATTTTACTACTGATTCACCCCACCCCTACCTTAGCCCTCACACGGGGGAGCTGGAATGGGAGTGCCCTTCCGCAGGTCTTCCTGTCCCTGTGTTAGGAAAAAGTGCAGGGATCCTTGTGTCTAGAGAAGGGCATCAGGATCTCTAGCTTGAAGTTAACTAGTTCAGAAGGTAACTGCAGGAAACGGTCAGGAGAACACACAGATGGAGGAGGGGAAGGCCACTGTTTTCATCTTCAGTCTTCCTGGAGCTTGGAGCAGGGCTGCGAACAAACTCCCTGGGGCCCAGGCCAGCAGTCCCCTCCTGGAGCTTCCTTGCAAACCCAGTGTTTGACTTGTGCTGGAAATGGCCTCCACTCCCTGTCTATGGCCTGGGTTGATGCTGTTGCCATTCTGGGGCTGGGAAAGAGGCACAGTGGCTGTGCAGTCATTTGTCCCCAATTTTGCAGAAAAAGGATACTGATCTTAGGAGTCAAGCAAATGTTTTCAGGAGAATCTTTTACACCCCTGCCCCATCTCCTTTTACCTGAGCTCACCAGTTAGGAAGTAGCTTTCCTCCCCTTCCCTCTTTTCTTTGATCATTACCAGAGGGCATGTGAGCTTGCCAGATAAAGACAGAGAGAAAGAGAGAGGGAGAGGGAAAAAGCACCCCCCAATGGGGCATGATCATCCTGCAATTCCTTCTCCTCCATTTGTCCAACCTGTTGGTATTTTAGGCAAGCCTGATGTGTTTTTCAAGCTTCCTGGGCTGGGATTTGAACTGTGTCGTTGGCCGTGTGGAATCTAGCTTCTTTAACCACTAGGCTCCAGGGCTTGGCCCTGGCTCTCCTTCGAGAGGAGCACTTGAAGCTAGGCAGTCAGGCCTGGAACACGGTGTAAGACAAGGCCTCACGGGGTCACTCCCCTCCCCAGCTGTAGCATCAGACTAGGTGCCAGTGACCTGTGGAATGAGGCCCTGCTGGAGGTAAACAGCTCTAGCATTCCTCTCTCTGAAGACCTCCTTTTGCCTGTACTTTGGTGGGACCTGTGATTTCCATCTTTGGGTGGAATCCTGAATACAGAAGCACAGTGTCCTTGAACATGTCAGGCCAGGGAGATCAAACGTGAGAGGAAAACGTTGCCTAACTCACGGCAGCCATGATGGTGTTTGAGAATTTACTTTCTCTTGAGCTTAAAGAATGTAGAAGACCCTGTCTGCACTAAACAAGGTGCTCCCCAAATACTTGTTGCAATGAATGAATGAGTGAATGAATGGATGGATGAGTGGGAGGTGGATGGGTGAGCAGGTGAGTTTTCAGCAGCAACATAACCGTACTGTCAGGGACTGTGCATGCTGGGCCAGGACTCCCACCTAATCAGACCGGGAACATCTACACACAGCCTTGGAACTGTCTGGCACTGGATGACCCCTTCTCAGTAGGGCTGGGGAGGGTGAGGCGTCAGCAAACCTTCCCACTGTCTTTGCTGTCTTGCTATGTTACCACCAGGGTCCCACCCAATCTTCCCTTGACTCCACTTTCTTTATGGGCTAAAGTCTAAGTAGAAATACTTGCAGGCAAAGGCTTGCTAGTTATGAGTTACAAATGCCAGATGTTTCATTTAGGGAGGACCCCAAAGGATGACCTGAAATGGGATCCACTTTTAAGGTCCCAGTGTACAGCTTCCCACGAACTAGTAGAAATTCATGCTTCCATGTAGGCTGACAAGCACTGCCGAAGACCGAAATCTTACCTAGCTGACCCTCAGGATTGGGAGGGGTGCTCTTTGGGGGCATACTCTCTACCCCTCCTTTTTCTTCCCTCTGCGGGCAGATGGTACAGGAAGAGGCAGCACAAGGGCCATTTGGGAGCTCGCTGTCCTTGGGAACCCCTCCCCCATGCTAAATGGTTTATGTGTTTTTCTAGGTGCCAAATGGCCGCGGGTCACAGCACTGCTGGGCTGTGGCCTGGACTAGGCTTTGCACACTGGCCTAGGGAAGTCCCATACAAAAGCCCACGGATGCGGATCGATTACGGACAGTGCCCATCCTCCCCTGCCGGCTGGCATGGAGCTCCAGATGCTGACCTGGCTGAAAGAGAATACTGTGTTGGCGTCTCCTGATGCAGAGTTAAATGCTTGTTAAAGAAAAAAGAGTCTTGGCCGTTCCTTTTCTTCCTAATGTCTTCCACGCCCCCATCGGCTGCCATCCCTCCAGGTTCGGGCCCGTCGGGGCCTGGGGTTTGGGCAGCGAGGTTGAGAGGGCAGCGGGGTGCTACGCTCTCCAGAGTTGACACCCAGGCAGCCCCAATGTTGCTCAGTGACAGCAGATTGGTTAGGCAAGTCCTGAACAGGGGGGAGGGACCTGATGCCCTGTGGCTCGGGCTTCTGTGCCTGAGGAGGAAAGGAATATGGAGCTTGAGCGGACAGGACACCAGGGCGAGAGATACAGATCAACACATTCCTTGCACGTGTCTGGCTTCAGGCTTCCATAACACAGGAGAGCAGAGAGCTGCAACGGTAGCTAGGGTGGACTGCCATTTGAGGGGAACAAGTGCAGAGGATAAATCAAGTCACAGAACACGGTAATCCCTTACATTGCATCAATCGGCCATTGTTTCGTTTGTTTTACATTTTTGCCATAGGGTGTGTGAGCTTGCCAGAGAGAGACAGAGAGAGGGAAAGTGAGAAATCATCCCCCAGGGAGGATGCCCATGCCTCAATCCCTTCTTTTCCATTCTCCTCCCAGGATTTTGGGCATGCATACATACACACCCAGAGTGACTTTTCAAGCCACCAGGTCCGGGACTTGAACCATACTTGGGCATGTGAGAGTCCATTTGCTGGCCCCAGCCACTGTTATGAATGGACCCAAGTAGATATCAAGGGGGCCCTGCAGACACACAGGCAGTCACTTCTAAGCTTCTTTTGTGGCCCCTTCCTACCTCATGTTAAATGTCAACACTAGTCCTAAGTCCACTGTGACGACTGGGAGCACACAGGGAGTGGCTTTTCCTAGGAAGTCTAGAAGCTCTTTGGGCGTCTAGTGCAAAGGGGCTGAAATGCCATAGCTGCCTGGGACAGGGGTACGTTTTGATTTAAACTCCTCCCTCCCACTTTTTTTTTTTTTTTGGAGAGGTTTTCGCTATAGGGCGCGTGCGCTTGCCAGACAGACAGAGAGAGACAGAGAGACAGAAAGCGAGAAATCACCCCCCAGAGGGGATGGTCACGCCGCAATCCCTTCTCCTCTCCTCTCGGGATCTTGGGCACGCACGTGCCCGACGTGAGTTTTAAGCCACCGGTCCAGTACGTGAACTAAGCCACCGGGTCCAGTACGTGAACTGTACGCGAACTGCGGTCGACTATGTGGGAGTCCAGCGACATAGCCATTACACTAACTGCTGGTTCCCCTCCCTCCCACTTTTCAGGAAATGCCATCCTTGCCTCTCCTGGGCCTTCTTGGATAGGGTGGGGTCTCAGTTGTGGCCTTCCTGGACCACCTGGGCCCAGACCAATATGAACCATGGTTCTAATAGGTTATGATCTCTGGAGAGCTCACCTTTCTAAGTGGGGGGTGGGTATACCCAGTGGCTGGTCTGACATCATCGAGTGGTCTGTGCAGTGGTGTGAGGGGGGCGAAGCTTGCTATCCCTTCATCATAGCATTCTACCAAATCAAGGCTTCTTCTCTTTTTATGAACCCCCTGTCAAAACGTAAGTATAGTGAAAAGTGTTGGAGAACAAAAGGGCCTGAGAGAAATGAAACCTGAGTGAATGTTCATCTCCTAGGGAGATGGGAAAGACCAGACAAACTCAACCAACTTTTTTTTTTTTTTTAGAAAGATTTTTGCTATAGGGCATGTGTGCTCGCCAGAGAGACAGAAAGAGACAGAGACGACAAGCGAGAAATCACCCCCCCCCAGGAGATGGCCACACCACAGTGCCTTCTCCTCCATCCTCCTCTCAGGATCTTGGGCACACATGCACATGCACCCAGCATGAGTTTTAAGCTGCCGGGTCCAGGACTCGAGCCATGGTCGACTATGTGGGAGTCCAGCAATGTAACCCTTACGCCATCTGCTGGTCCCTCAGCCAACTTAACACTGCCCAGGACTTGCCTGCTGGCGACTGTGTGTAATTCTTCACAGGACAGCAAACAACCAGAAATTGGTTGATAACCCTTATGAAACCTTTAGTAGCGATATTAGAGCATTAACAGTATAAACAGAAGCATGATCTTAATATCGTTAGATGCTCTCAGTTGTAATAGAAAGGCCCTTTTACCACTGTTAAATAAGCAAAACCTTGGGTAATAGTTTCATTTAGTTTTGAAGGTTATTGACCCAGAAATGATTTCCAAAGAAGACAACACATACGACTCACCCTACGTGCTTCTAAAAAACCATGTTTTGAGATAAGGTCCTACAAAACGCTGACGGCAAACCATCACATGTCTAAGAACTAATCACGAATCCCGATTTCCGGATTATCTTCTTTTATGAAAAGCCAACCGCTGGCATTTATTTAGAAGGTTAGGATTCAGAGAATTGTGGGGCAGCTCTGAACTGAAATTGCACGAAAACCGCTCACTTACTTCCACATCTGTGAATTCAAGTGTTTCTCTACCATGGAGTTTAGTGCGAATCGAAAACGATCCCATCTTCTATCAAACACATAGTACCCTCGTCCCATGAGGCGACTCCCGAATGAGCAAAACTGTGAGGAAAAAAACATTTTAATTTTGATTACAGGTTAATAAGCTAATATAAACCATACAGAGAAAAATAACATTTGCATAAAAACACACAGGGGCACCATTTTACTCAAAACAAAGAAGCAAATGCTACAGAAGCCAAAAATATTTCTGTGGTGCTGTAGTCTGAGCTCTAGACTTCCTGCAGAACCTCGCATTATCATTCAACAATAGCTACATTCAATTTTCAGTGACATTCAGGGTTATATTCTCTACTCCTGGGACTGAGCCAGCGTTTTAGGTTCAAAAACAAACCACCACCAGCAGCAGCCAGGGTGATTTTTCAGCACCATCTGTTCATCCTATCATCCATCTTCTCAAGAAACTCAGGGGCTCCCTGCTTTTCCTCATAGTAATGGAAACTGCCTCTTCTGGTGTTCTGGGTCACACCTTTCCCAGCCGAAGACAAGAGTCATTTCACTTCCAACCAGGCTAAGCGCCTTCCTTTCCCAGCTCTGACCTCATCTCCACCTCCCATCTGTCCCACCTCGCAGGCTGCCCTGGGACACATCACCACCTCTGAGCTTTTGCTCAAGCTGTTCCCTCTGCCTGCTGTCTCCTTCTCTCTTCTCCTCTTCAATCCTGACCCTCCCCTCTCTCGGTTCTCTAATCAAGATTCTCCTTTCCAGTGGCCCCCATCTGATCAGTCTTCCCACTGTGCACCCCTGCACGCCTACGGCACGCTCTGGTACAGCTCACCTTGGAGTCACACATGGCTGTCCCCCATTGTGCGTGTTAGGCTTATGTACCTCTTCCTCCTCTTCCACCCTATAGGATAGTAGCGATTTGGGCTAAAGACTGGATTAGGGAGACAAGGTCCTACAAAATGCTGAAGGCAAACCATCACATTGAAACCATGAACTAGAAAGGCCAGGGGGTGGCACAGTGGTAGTGCAAGGACCTGCATGGCAAAGAACGGTCCTGAGTTCGGGTCCCGGGTTCTCTCTGAGCAGGCTGTGTGCACACAGGTGCCTGTGATCCAGGCTAGCTGAGATCAGTGTTGGATCATGGCACCAAAACCGTGCCGTGTCTGTCTCTCTGACTCTGTCTCTCACGGAAGAAAGAATTAACCAAAAACGAAAACTCAGAACACACAAACATGAAATGTGGGTACCAGATGTTTAATAAATACCACTTGATTATGATGTTAGGACATCCGGAAGGCCAGGAGACAGCACTGCAAGAAGTGGCCTCTAAGAAGGTGACATTTGTTGAGAGCTCAGGCGAGTCTGCAAATGACTCTATAATTCAAATGCAGCGTCTCCCCCTTCCTCCAGGCTCTCAGCAGCTCCCTGGCCTCCATCCCAGACACAGCGCTGGATTGGCACTCATTCCACAAACCCGTCCTGGAGCCAGCCTTTGGAACAGTTCTCAGGAGAAAAACGCTAAGACCTTCCTTTTGTTCTGATTCTGCTTGTGTTTTGAGGATTTTGCATTAAAATCTTGCCACCATCAAAGGTAGTTCTGTTGCTGAAAAACACTTTTTTGCACCTTCATATTAAGTGCTTACTGAGCACGTAAGAAAACACACAAAGAGAATTCTCCAACGTGGAAGCTGGTCCCTAGCAGCATGCAGGAGCTATTCCAGGTCTAGACATCAGTTCTTCCTTCTTCCTAATTGCTAAAGATGCACTGAGCGAGCATTTATTACAAAACATGATTCCATGTTTCAATTAGCCATAAGAGAAAGAAAAACGAGAAAAAACAATTCCATGGCCTCTCCATTGAAATCAGCCAAACATTAAGGCCACACCAATGTGCCATGTCTGGAGTTTAGTTAATCCACTGCAGCCTGGCAGCTCACCACTTCTTGGACAAATGACTTGATGAACAGAGATGGCCTTCTGGGAGAGCCTCATGTCTTCTTCTTCTTCTTTTTTTTTTTTAAGAAGTTTTTGCTATAGAGCGCATACGCTCGCCAGAAAGACAGAGACAGAGAGATAGAAAGTGAGAAATCACCCCCTGGGGGGATGGCCATGCTGCAATCCCTTCTCCTCCATTCTCCTCTTGGGATCTTGGGCACCCATGCACATGTGCCCGGTGTGAGTTTAAGTCACTGGGTCCAGTACACGAACCGTGGTCAACTACATGGGTCCGGGACACGAACCATGGTCGACTACATGGGAGTCCAGTGACATAGCCATTACGCTACCTGCTGGTCCTGAGCCTTGTGTCTTTTTCAGATTCAGGAAATGGAGGAACCTTTTTGTCTTTGCTACCTGAGATTCTAGTTCCACACTGATGCAAGGCTTTGTGGCCCTGGGAGGAGGCTGTCTGCCTTTGGTGTGTATTACCTCAGTGGCGCTGTGGATCCTCACTGTGCTGGCCTCGGTGGCAGAGCCAGTGGTTGCCGGCCCCGTCAGCTGCCGCCCACTCCCCCTCACTCTGTCCTGTCCATGCTAGAAATCTGATATCTGGTGTGGAGCAGTAAGTAGGAATGGTGGGTCTCCTCCCAGACACTCAGCATAAATCATGACTGGTTTCAACCCTGTGTTATCGGAATCCCTTCCTTCTGTGCCACTGTTCAGTCTCAGGGTGGGCATATGACCCACGTCTAGTAGATAGAAGGGAACATCTGCTAGGGGCTTATAGGAAGATTTTCTTTCCTAACATAAGACTCGTTTTCCATTTGTCCCTTCCCATCCTGCGTGGAATGCTGCTGGGTGCAGAAGTGACATAGGAACTGTAGCAGACACACTGAGACGTTCATGAGAGGTGAAGAGAGTCGCAGAGATTGTCCCTCAGCTCCACGACCTCAGGGGAACGCTGAGCCAAGCTTGGAAGCACTGGATGGCATGTATGTGAGGTAACAAGGCGCGCTCCGTGCAGGCGCCGTATGACTTGAGTTTTCATCGCTGGCCGGCCAAGGCACTCTGCACATCCCTGACTCCTTCCCTACTAGCCAAGAGGCAAAGTTTCAGGCTGGGGAGCCACAGGTAACTCCCCTGGAAACAGGCAGAGAATCTGGCCTTCATTCTTCATGCAGAGAGAAGACAGGAAGGACTCACTTTATCTTGCTACAGGGTCGGTTTTACTCACATTGAGACCAGCCCTGAGATCCAGAGGCAGTCAGAGCTAATCCTGCAGGGCACAGGCTGGCACCAGAGCAAACCTCCATGGAGCCTTGTGTTCCAGGCCCCCCTGCCTTCGGCTCTGTGATGGCAGCACCAGGCATTCCTTCTCAAGTGCTAGCACGGCGAACACAAACAAGGCTCCGGCTGAGGCCTCCTAGCTCCCACCTCGTTTTAATGACCTTCTGAGCTGTTTAAGCGGATTCATTCAAGGAGTTGGGAAGTGCCCTTTTCGTCATCAGCAATCACACTGACATGAAAGAGGCTTCCTCCTTCACACACACACACACACATACACACACACTCAGTTCCCGTGCCATATGGTCCCACTATTAACAGTCGAACTCAGAACACCAGTGAGGGTTGGCACCTGACATAGCGCTAAGATAGCGGTTTCTAGAGCTGGTGACCCAGGCTAACTCTGCACATCAGAGGCTCCATTTTCATAGGCAAGGCCAGAAGGTCAGCTCCCCCGTCTACTCATCTGAAGTCTATTTCTCAAGCAGTCTCTCTTCAAGAACGACCATATATAATTCAGGTGCTTAAAGGATGCCAATCAGCTGGCAGCTCTTCCCATTCCTTCTGTGAGTTCCTGGGATATTTCTAAGGCAATCATTCAACCCCAGAGCAAGCCTTTTCCTAAAGCACCACACTGGCAGCCTCTCTTTAGCAATACACGTCTCTGGTGTGGTCACCCGGGTACCTGCAAAAAAGAGGGGAAAAGCATGTGCAAGGGACAGCAAGAGGCCTACCGCGAGAGGTCTGGGGTGGTGCGTGGAGAACTGACAGTCTAACTTCTCGGACTCGTCTGCTCCGTCCATCTCCCCTTCATCACTGGACAATCGACTTGCGAGGTCACCTCCAACTGGGGGCACAGGAGGCTCTGGTGCGTAGCCACTGTGATTTGAAGACGTGCTGCTGCTTATGCTATTTGCAGATGATGGCCTACAGGAAAGAGGGGACCAAGACAGAATAAGCATTTCTGAGGTCAGAAGAGCTGCCCAGCTTCATGTGCTCAGAAAGCAGCCTGGTTAGTCCTGCCAATACTTCAGGGAGGATGGCTCTGCACAGGAGAAAATGAAGCTGAAGGGTTAGCGGTGACCAGCTCTCTACAGTGCCCCAGCAGGGTTAGGTTGTGCCTGCTCACTGCCTCTGGGCCAGAATCACGTACAGAGGCACCAGGAAAGGCCCAACAGTGTCAGCACAATGCAAAATCCTAAAACCCGTCTTCCTGGAATTCAGTTACAACTATTCATCCTTTTCCATGTACGTTGGACTGGCCACATAGTTGCCTCCCTTTGAACGTGGGGCCTAACAGCATCAGCAACCAGGTAAACAAAATCAGACCAATCAACAAAATATCGGTAATGGAGCACAGTCCTTGAAATACTGTTTTTGCCACTAACCTAGGACCGTTTGAAATTGTTATCATACTGGCACAGAAGAAGGTTTTCCCAGTGATGGGCCACTAATCCTTTACCCCAAAGCCATGCCTGTTTCTTATTTTGTTTTTTCTTTTTCTTTTTTAGTTTGCTATAGGGTATATGATCTTACATGTGTATGTGAGAAAGAAAGAGATAGGGAGGGAAAGTGAAAAAGCATCCCCCCCAGGGGGGAGGGCCATTCTCCTCTTGGGATTTTGGGCATGCACGCACATGTACCGTGTGTGTTTCTCAAGTTGCTGGGTCTAGGCTTGTACCGCACAGTAGACTGTGTGGGACCTACCATCTTAACCTCTGGTCCCATGTTTCTTACTTTTTTTTTCTCCTTTAAAAAATTATTTGTTGGGAACCAGCAGTTAGCGTAATGGCTGTGTCGCTGGACTCCCACGTAGTCGACCACAGTTCGTGTCCCGGACCCGGTGGCTTAAAACTCACGCCGGGCGCGTGTGCATGCGTGCCCAAGATCCCGAGAGGAGAATGGAGGAGAAGGGATTGCGGTGTG